TTCTGAGAATACAGTTTATCATGCGAGAGATTATAACTTTTTCTCACGGATACGTGCGATGACACATTATTAGAGTAAAGGAATGATGATCTGTACGAATATCTACGCAATAATACAAGTATTCCGAAAACTTATTGTAAAACTTTGGTAATTACCTCTTAAAATTCGGTTGAGCAGCGCCAAGTTTTTGTACTTTAAAATAAAATATTTATTTGTATTAAATTGTCTAAACCGCGTGCAACGGGCGTCCGCGGGCGCCCAGCCGGCGGGCATGCCCCCACTCCAACGGGCAACGGGCGTCCGCGGGCGCCCAGCCGGCGGGCATGCCCCCACTCCAACGGGCAACGGGCGTCCGCGGGCGCCCAGCCGGCGGGCATGCCCCCACTCCAACAGGCAACGGGCGTCCGCGGGCGCCCAGTCGGCGGGCATGCCCCCACTCCAACGGACAACGGGCGTCCGCGGGCGCCCAGCCGGCGGGCATGCCCCCACTTCAATCATCGCCCCACCACGTTTAAAACTATTTAGTTTAGTTGGCGCCATTTAATGATATCATTACTTTTGTAGAGAAGATAGTTTTGTAGTGAAGATATTTTTGTAGAGATGCAAAAAAGATAGAGTAACAAAATATATTCGGTTGGAGCTTATACTTGGCGCCTTTCTTTACCTTTTTTTAAAAAGGTATATACTATACTTGTTGTTGTTACCTGTTCAAGTTCTAATGATGATATGTTGTTCCTGGAAATTACAGATGTATTCTGAGAGAACAACATCATCTGGCTGGTTATCTGAGGTGAAGTTATTTCCTGTTACAAATAAAATAAATTTTGAAAACATGTTAAAATATAATACCACGGTGTTATACCCTTATGAAAAAATACACTCAATCATACGTTGACGGTCCGAAATAACCATCAAATTTAGTGTAAACCTTCATGAAACACTCGATTATGAAGGTTTACACTCAATTTGATGGTTATTTCGAACCGTCAACGTATAATTGAGTGTATTTTTTCATAAGGGTAAAATTTTAGAAAAAGCTACTTCTTGTTTCCTAATGTTTTCTTCTGAATCTTGATTTATTCCTTTATTTGCTTGATGTATTATTGAAGTGGGTGACTGAGAAAAACTCATATTCGTAATACTTCTGAAGTGATAAAAAGTTATGACAACAATATTTACTTAATATACCATATATAATAATTATAACAAAAATATACTAACTTTCTTTGGGCAATATGCTTTCCTAAAAAGTTGAGGCTGTCGAAGAGAAACCACTTTGATCGTGTAGGCTTTCCAGCACCATTCCTGGTTTCTTGTTCACGCAATATTCGTTCTTTGCTATAACGTTGACGGAGGCGTGTCCATCGTGTTTGGCAATCTGATACTGAAAAACATAAATATATATCATTATTTAACCACGTAAAAGAAAGTGCATGAAGATAGTGATAGAGTCTACGTTTCATACACGTATAAAGCACGGTTAAATATGTTTAGCAAACAATTTACATTAAATAGGTTGTAAAATAAAGAATTATTAATAAACAAATGTTTTAAATTATAATTAACTTACCTGTAATATTCAAAATGCTAGCCATTTCTATCCATGCATTTTCTTTTATATTCGTGTTCTTGTATTCTCTTTGCGTTTTATCGTAAAGATAAGGACGAGATCGCACAAGATCGATTAAAAGTTCATCACCGTGTTTATGACTATTTATGTCATTCACATTATCACAATATTCGCTCGATGTATCGAATTGTCCTTCTTCAAAGTTATTTACTGTGTAATCAAAATGATCCATTTTAGAGATGGTGTCTTTTCACTTCATCACTTCACCACAGTGTAAAATCATGAAGATTTATCTCTAGTTTTTATGGTTAAAATATAACCTAAAAACAGTACAGTACACTCGAAACATTCAAGCCTAGAAACGCGCGTCTCGGCAAAAATCTGAGCGCTATGATTGGTTGGCTACAAGGCAATAGGTACAGAATTCCAACTCGTCGGAAATTTTATCGCTATTGCCTATTCCGTGCTGTGCTGTGGTTATTTCTGCATTGGCATATGGATTCCCTAGTGTTGGAATTCTGTTCCTATTCCTGTGTTATTGCTATCGCTATTACTATCGCTATCGCCAGCATTGTGCAAGGGCCTTGACCGCCCGGCGATCGATATTACCAAGCGCACGAGGACTTGTTTATTTCAAGCGGCAATGGCTACACACGAACGGCGCGTAACGCTGGACCCCCGTTTCTAAATTATGATAGCTCCTTGTCCTTCTTTTAATAAACGTGAAATTGTCTAACATTATATTATACATTTTACTAGTGAAATGTATGGTAAAATTTCAAAAAACTCATAAAATTCTTCGAAATGCTATGTTATCCCACGGTTATATGATTTTCAGGGGAAATTTTAAGAGAAAATTCTCCGTGTATCGAAAAATTTTTTTGCGTATGTATATATAAGGTACGTGTACATGCATGTACATAGAAAAATATTATTTCTGCTTAAAAAGGCGATTACTCAATTTACTTTTTTTAGTGAGTAACGGTTATCTTTAACAAAGAATATTTTCATAATAATAGTCTTAAAATGTACTCATCACAAATACTCTTTGTAAAGATAACCGTTACTTAAAAGAAGAAAACTGAAATTAAGTAATTGGTCTTGTTAGCACTTGAATGAAACTATTTTTCTGTATGTGCGTACATAAATTATAATCGCATGAAATTATATTTTCTTTTTGCGGTAAGAAAATGATATAAGAACGCTATCATTTCCACACCACCTTGCGGTAGATAGCATGGCGCATTTTTTTTAAGTGGTATCCCCAGTAGGTCTAATCCACTCTCATAATTTAATGCAAAAATTGTTCGAAGTGCCGCCCTCTTTTTCGTACGCAGAGCTCGGCCCTTCGAGTAATATTGCGCGTCGCGCGATACGCCATTTCCGGCGTGATGGTATTGAAAGCTGCGAGAATTGCTTCTCGTACTTCAGCCTCTGTATCATCAGGTGTTCAACTAAATTTTTAATATGGCCCCATACAAAAAAATCTAAAACATTCAGATCTGGCGATCGCGCCGGCCAAATGATTGGGCCACCTCGACCCATCTATCTGTCCGGATAATGCGCGTTTAAAAATTCGTGAATGCCTGCCGAGAGAAATGTGCAGGAGCCCCGTCATGTTGGAAAATAATGTTTGCTTTTACCCGGAGAGGAACATCTTCGAGAAGAGCAGGCAACTCATTTCGGAGAAAATTTGTGTAAATTTCCCCATTTAAACAGGGGGGGGGGGGGGTAGAAAATAAGGACCGATCTGAAAATCGATAAAAAAATGATTAAAACTGCGAAAGAAAATTCCTTAACTTCTGTTGAGTTACATAGTACAAGAAGGTCCGTAATATGTATCAAATAATAACTCAGCTTGTGCGTGTTACTCACAAATAATCTTTACTCAAATACAGTAATCTATGTCTTTATAGCTCGGGAGTCCGATTCTTTCTGCGTTGCTAATCAACAACCGACAAAAGCCTACATCATCGCATACATTCAGTTCGCATAATTTCACACAGCAATTCCGCATATTCGCATGTAGGCACACATCCCAACACTTCTTTCCTTCAACGGAAAAGAAATCAACGGTAGCGGCGAATTCCTTCCTTGTAGTTAAACCGTGGGTGATGTAAGAGCCGTTCGGAACGACGAACAATCTTTTCAGATGGAGGAAGTTGCTCACAGGAAACAGTTGCAGAAGACGATGTAGGAACAGACACATTGTCCAAAGTCGTAGAAAAAGTTGTAGAATCAATTTTAGTAGACGGTGTAGAAACAGACGCGTCATCCATGGTCATAGCAGGAACAGACGTGTTGTCAGTAGCCATGAAATCTGCTTGACTCGTGATTGACTGGCCCATTGAAGGAAGATACACTTCATTCATAGGTTCTTGGATTCTGGGTAAGAACGACGACATCCGGTTCCAGATTTGGTTGAAATGACGAATCAGGAACCCTCCTTCGGTGGTGACTCGTGCAATAGCAGAACCAATTAGCTTGTCGATCCTTCCAGGAATGCGTTTACCATTTGACAGTTTGATGAAAACCGGTTGCCCTGTAACAAAAAGACGTGGCCTAGCACCGTGGTGAGTATCAAATTGTCGCTTCATTTCTTCTTGTCGACAAGTTAAAGCCGTAGTTGGTTGAGTAGATGAACGCGGAAAAGAAAAGTCGAGAGGTGTTCTGAAAGCACGTCCGAAAAAGATCTCAGCAGGAGACTTCTGATCCGGAGCAGCATCGCAAGGCGTATAATTATAGGTGTAAAGGAAACGTGAGAGTTCGTTTTCTATAGGTGAGGATAAATCAATTGAGCGTTTCAGAGTGCCCACCATCCTCTCAGCTTGACCGTTAGATTGTGGATGTCCCGGTGGACTACGAAGATGTAGAATGTTGAATTCAGAACATAGCTGGGCAAAATCTTCCGAGGTAAATTGAGTCCCGTTGTCAGAAACAAGAACTTCAGGTGGACCATAGCGACAGAAAAGTCTACGAAGATAGCGACATGTGGCAGCGGTTGTAATTGTCGAAAAACATGCGGCGTCGACAAACTTCGAGTAGCTGTCTACAATTATCAAAATCCATTCTTTTTTAATTGGTCCAGCAAAATCAATGTGAATGCGAGTCCACGATTTCTTAGTATCCGGCCATGGATGCAATGGTTCCTTTGGTGGAGATGCCGCTGTTTGATTACAATGGTAGCAGTCCTTTACAAATCTCTCAATATCATCATGCATAGCAGGCCAATAAAAATATTTACGAGCAAGTTGCACCATACGACGAATTCCCGGGTGTGCAATGTGAAGCATTTTCAAAACAATTGGACGAATACTTCGTGGAATTACAACTCTGTCTGAAACTAAAAAATTATCCAAAACAGATAAAGATTCTCGACGACGGTAATACGGTAGTAAATCGTTGTCTTTTGAATCGGAATTTAGCCTGTTTGTAAGCGATCAATGACATCAGCTAGAACTCCGTCTTTGAAGGTTGCTTGTTGAAGCTGCTGGCGACTAATAGGAGAAAGAAGCTGGGTAGACTCTTGTAAAATTCGGCGCTTTAAACCGGTGAAGATTTTTCACAAACTTTCCGTAATAATTAACAAGGCCTAAGAATGAGCGGAGTTCCTTAGTATTTTCTGGTATACGCATAGAATGTATTGGTTGAATTCGCGCAGGATCCGGTTGTATACCGTTGGCTGAAATTAAATATCCAAGGTATCTAACTGATGTAGAATGAAATTTACATTTCTCCAAACGAAGTCGGAAACCCCATTCATGAAGGCGTGTTAAAACAGCGTTTAATCGAGCATCGTGCTCAGAACGATCTCGGCCGCTAACAACAATATCATCTATATATACCAAGACTCAAGGCATACCCTTAAGCATTAGTTCCAAAGTACATTGAAAAATAGCGGGAGCAGGTTTTAGGCCGAAAACTAATCGATTATAAACATATAGTCCTCGATGCGTATTAATAGTTGTATATTTCCGGCTTTCGTCGTCCAGTTTTAAATGTAAGTAAGCGTCGGAGAGATCCAGCTGCGAAAAAATCATATTTCCTCGAAGTTTTGTTATAATTTCTTCCATATTAGGAATTGGATGATCGACCACGTTTAGAGCATCGTTTAAACCTGTAGAATAATCAGCACAAATGCGTATTTTCCCATTGGCCTTACGGGCAACGACAATAGGAGTAGTCTTCATGGCTTCCGGATGGTTACCGCGTCCGTTTGCAGTGTGGTGCCGACGTTTCGCAGGCGTTGCAGTCTGCTTCATCAGGGCTGGGAGACTCTGATACTGAGCTCCCTCGCGTTGCGCTCGTCCTTTTATACTCTTTCTTGGG